CACAGATATATGTTGAGATACACTAACATCAAATATATAATAATTTCATAATATTATAAAGGACATAAAATTTTGGCTGAAATACTCTTAGTTTAGCAAAAGCTAGAGGGCCTAGCACTATAAATTTTCTTATATGAAGAGAATATCTCCATAGGAACTAGCTAATGATGTTTAGTAGGGGAGAGTATGGGAACCTGGGCAGTAAAGGCCTAGATGTGGTCAGTCTGCATTTGGCTGTGTAATGCATCAAGACAGTGCTGAGGAAAGAGAAACATTCATCTTTTCCTTTGGAGGGGTTTAGGGAAGGGAGGAAGTAGCATTCTGGACCTCTGGCATTTGGCTACATGAGTTCTGGTATCTGGTGCATGCTGGCACTGAGCCTTGTCTGGGGGTACACATTTGGACCCTCACTGCAGGAAGGGGGGTATTGCTCTCTCACTTACATATTAATTAGTATTACTTTGGCAGCTTTTTATGTCTTCAAGACACAGGAACGAGAGGAATGTCACTCACCTTTCCCTAGTTTCTGTCTACTTTCCCTTTCAATATTTCCATATTGTAAATGAGTAACCACTAAAGGGTATTTCCTCCAAAGTGAGAGGATTCAGCAAATGTGGGCACACTCCATACACCATGATAAATGAACAGCTTTGGAGAGGGGATTCTGATCACCCTGACTGCATACAGAGGATTCATCTCCTGGGCTTCTTCAGCTTGGGTGTCCTTATGAATTTGCAGGACGCTCTTTTAATTCTACTGTTTATGAGTCTGTGTTTATAAAGTTGAAATTAGAACAAAACTGAAATTAGAATAAAACTAAGAATCAAACTAAGCTTTATACAAAGGAAACATTTAATAGTCAACCTGTAAGCCAAACACTATAAACTGAAAATTTTCCATATGGTTAAGAGAAATGGTAGGAAAATTTAGAAACACAATCCTATGAAAAACAACTAAAGTTTCTATCTGTTGCCAATCTGTAGCATTATGGACATTTACAAAGGATCCTATGTGATTCCCCAAGCATCTGTTCATCCCTCCACATCAAAGAAGAGCCTGAGCCCAAGGAAAGAGAAAGCTAAGAACTGAGGGTCTCACTGACTTTGAGTTGCTTGTGCTGAGGCCCTGAAGGGGTTACAGTAATTGAGCATTATCCAGGATTGAAAGCCCAACAGTTAGGAAATACCAAGTGGGATGCTCCTATGTCTTCACATTAACTATGGCCCTGGTTCCTAAACATAAATGAACATTCCAGGACCTATGAAGACTTGATGGACAAACTAGAATTTTGGTTTCTGTTCTAAATTCATCAGATCCTCACTCAAGCTTTATACTTCTTCCCTAACCCTCTCTTCTCTAGGACTTCCAAGAGAACCAAAAATCAGAGTATGGTTTATAAACTCCCATGTTGGTCTGGAGAGATGGTTCAGCGGGTAAGGGAGTTTGCTGCCAAGCCTGATGATCAGGGTTTGATTCCTGGGACCCACATGGTGGGACAGAAATGACTTCTTCAAGTTGTCCTCTGACCTCCACATACAAGCCATGGCAATGTATGCCCCACCACCACAAATAAAGAAATGCAATAAAACTTATTTAAAAAATAAATGTGTACATACATGCAGACAATACACTCATACACATAAAATAATAATAATAATAATAAAACTAAATGTGTTAACTAAAAAATTAGAAGCACTAAGCTAAGAAAGAAAAAATGTAAGACATAAAAATGGATTTGCCCAAACTTACCATCAGAGGGCACAACTGTACTGCAGTAAACAACTCCCAGGTTCTGCCAGGAAGTGAGTCTCTGGTGCGCCTACAGAAACAAAAGACATGTCAACTGTCAGAACAGAAGAACAAATGTGAGAGGTGTGAGACCCAAATAAAGCTGGCTTTGAGTACTAAACTAATACGGGTTCTTTAGAGAAAATTTAAAAACACAAATAAAAGGAAACAAAAGTCTTTCAATTTCTTAACATCACAAGATATTAGTAGCACCAAACACTTTGGTGTGTTTCAATTTACAAACACACTTACATACATACAGGTAAACAGCAGTCTCATATTAAATAAGAACTATAGCTAGTAAATCATTTTAAGCAACTTTAAAAAGTAATATTGGTTTTAATCTTTTCTTTATTATTTTATTTAATCTGTATGAGTGTTTTGCCTGCATGCATGCAAGTGCACCCATGTAGTGCCCATGGAGTTCAGAAGAGGGCATCAGATTCCCTGGAACTGGAGTTACGGGTGGTTGTTAGTTACCACGTGGGTTCTGGGAACTGAACCCCAGTCCTCTGCAAGAGCAGCTAGTGCTCTTAACCACTGGGTCAACTCTCCAGCACCTCAAATCTAAATTTTCTTTTCCTTCCTATAAGCTTTTCAGTCTGCATTTCTTTCCCATATTTTACCAAGAATAAGACAGCAACTAAATAGATGTACCATGACTTTACAGATGTTTGGGGAGCATTGGCCTTGCTGTATACTCTTCTTTTAAGAGCCTGGACAGGCAATCTTAGCGCTTGAACCCAGAGTATCAGAGGGAAACCGTGCGCTCTCACACACCTGTGCTGTTTCTTCAAAGGGCAGCACTGTGGCTGTGACTCCAGAGTTCAGGATTTCGGAATTAAACTAAACTTCAGAAAGAATACTAAATACATTCCTATCTTAATTTATTCCTTTGCACCTTTTCCCTTCTGAGACACCAAAAGTATGACAGGAGGAGGAATGAAGGCATGAAATGACTAAAACCCAATGTATTAACCCATCTGCTGTCTTCTGTTGTGTCACTGCAACAAAAACCAGCTAGGTCTCTATGACAATACATGCCTTGACTATTACACAGACGTGACTATCATCAATGCCTACCCCCTGCTCACTGAAGAAAGTATGCAGAAATGGAAGAATAATATTTAGAAAAAACATACATCATTTAAAATTACTTGAGCTAAAGTCTATAGGTAATTCTGTCTTTCAGGCTTAAATCTTGGATTCATAGGAGTTAATTTTAGCTAAATTTAAGAAAGAAGTGCAACTAACTCCCCTCTACTGCCAGCACAGCTGCCCATCGTAATCCATGGTCCAGTGTCTTCCTTACTTCAAACGACAACTTCATATTTTTCTAAATACTATATGAATTTGGGTCTATTTCTGAACTTTTACCAAGTTCAACAATCTGTCTGCTCATGCCATATCAACCTCATTGCTTCCACATTCTAGTTTTACTATGTATTTTAATATCTGGTAGGTTAGTCATTGTGAAGAATATAAGCAGCATTTAGAGCAGTACCTGGTATACAGGAAGGGCTCAATAGAGGTTAGCAATCGTTTTGTTTTGAGACCATGTTAACTCCATGGGTCAGCATAAGGAAAACTACCATCTATATGATTTCAATTGTTAGTACCCAAGCATCCTGTAAGCCTCCCCTTTCAAATCTTCATTTGTATCCCTGAGAAGCATTTTACAGATCTCTCCACACAGATCTTGCATCCTCTGTCCTCACGCAATGCCTTTCATGCTGTAGAGTCCAATATTAAGATCTCTGCTCTGAGTTTTTGTAGTCTGCCTATGCCTGGCATATCTCTACTTGTCCTTTAATTTTATTATCCTTTCTGTGCTTTTATGTGATCCAATTCGGGAATTTTTCATTAGCAAGGTTTAGCCTCCTTACATTTATCTATAGTTATACATATTTAAGTGTTTCCACTATGAACTTTTTTTTTTTTGTCTTTTTGAGACAGGCTCTTCCTATATAGCCCCAGCTGGCCTGGAACTCACACAGATCCCCCTGCCTCTGCCTCCTGAATGCTGGAATTAAAGGGGTGCACCACCATGCCTGGCACACCACTTTCAATTTTTAAGGGTTTTTTTTTTTTTTGTACTGTGGCATAAACCCAGGGGCCTCACCCATGATAGGGAAGCACTCTGCCACCAAGCTACATACATCTTTGCTGTATTATGAAATTATACACTACATGTGCTGTTCTAGTGGCTGCTTTCTCTTTACAATACTTTCCTTAGTAAACTAAGGTAGTCCCAGCACTTAGGAGGCTGAGGCAGGAGGACGGCAAGCTCAGCTTACAGTGTTGTTCTTCATGGATATTTGACTCCTTCACTGCCTTCAGATCTTCAAATCTCCTTGCTCAGTATAACCTGCTCTGGTCCCAATCTAAAATGGAGACCCATCACTTTCTGAAGCTTGACATGTTAATTCCTAAACTAATTCTTTCCTGGAGGACTTGGTAAAGTGTCAGTGCTGAGTGCTGCTTTTGGGGAGCCTAAGGCCAGTCACTTCCTCTGGACAATGGTGTTTGCCTGGTTTTGCTGGGGATCTGCAACCACAGGTGCCATCTCCTGGGCTCTTCCCACAATCACCCTCCTGACCTGCACTGGATCTCGCAGCCATCTTTATACAGTGGGCTGTGTGCTGTGGGAATGGCAGAAAGCTCCCTGGGTGAGCTAAAGATGAAATTTAGACTTCTTGTCTTACTGCCCTTCCTATTGGATGGTGTGGAAAGGGAGGAGTTGCTGCCTTTACTGGACCACTGTTTGTTATCCAGTGACTTTCACCACTGACTTGTGCAAACATAAACAGAAGCAGAGAGAAAAGTGCCTAGCGTCAATAGTTTCCAACTTTTGCCAAACTGTTCCTCTAACCCACCTAATTTATTTTCTCCTTCCCCCGAGTCTCTTCCCCTCCTTTAATTTTTTTTTTTTAATTGAGACAGAGTCCCCTGTAACTAAAGCTGGCTTCAAACTTGCTAAATAGCTGAGATGACCGTTCCTCCTGCCTCTGCCTGTCAAGTGCTGGGATTATAGGCATGCAGCACCATGCCTAGCTTTTCCAAGAGCAACTTAAAGAACATCCCAGCTGTCATAGCTGAAAATAGATCAGAACACATTTGCTAGGACACTGTAAAGCTGGAAGTCCCCTGTTCTCTGATTTCATACATTATCCTTAACAACAATATTTTATGGGGCAAGAGTACATGACTGTTATGAATAATTTTTGTTAGATACTATAAAACAAGGGTTGGCAGGTCAGTTGCTTCCTTTTGTGAAAAGAGTTTTATTGCAACACAGTCAGGCTCACGCATATCAACAGCCAGTTAATCTATGGTCTCTCTACAGCAGAATTCAGTAGGTAGGTAGTGGTGAGACAGCTGACTAACAACAGAAACCACGTGGTCTCAGAAATCTAAAGTATTTACAATCCAGCCCTTTAAGAAAATGGTTGCTGACTCTTGCTATAGAACAAAGCTTAAATAGTCTGGGGATAATATGCCTTCTCCCAAAACTTTTTATCCCATTCCTATAAAGAAACTGGCAATTACAAAAAAGTTTAAACTTATGCAGAGGCAGGGTCTCACTGCATTTCACAGGCTGGCCTCAAACTCCTTGCCTCTGTTTCCCAAGTAGCTGGGACTTACAGCCACCACACCAGCTTCTTATTCAATACATATAGAGGGCCAGCTTTCTCTCTTCAAGCTTTCTCATGCTTTACAGTCTAATGAGGCCAACAGAAATAAAAATGATTTTGTACTAGACATTTCTCCCTGAAATATGGCAACAACACAAAGCAAAAACAAGCAAAGAAAAAAAAGCAATAAATGGATTATAAATGTTCAAGACCAAAGAAGTATTGCTATTCCAAATTGCATTTCATAGTTCCTCTAAATTAAAGGTATCTGTGCTGGAATTTGTTTTTTTAATTCCTAATATATTACAAGAAAATAGTAAGAATTTTAGTTTTTTTTCTAAGTAGGATGCTTTAAATAAATGTTTGGCTGATTCTGACAGATCAAAAAATATATCAAGGGACTGGAGAGGTGGCTCAGAGGTTAAGAGCACTGGCTGCTCTTACAGAGGACTCAAGTTCAATTTCCAGCATCTACATGGCAGCTAACAACCACCTGGAGCTCCAGTTCTAGGGGATCAAATGGCCTCTTCTCACCTCCATGGGCACTGCATGCATGTGGTGCATACACATACATGCAAAGCACTCAAACACATAAAACAATACAATAAGTAAATACAAATAAATAAATAAAATACATCAAGAAGTTTGTTGGGAGTTATGCGTGGCAGTGCACATCTGTAACACTGGCACTTGGGAGGCGAAAGTAGGGGCTTGGGGCCAGCCTGGGCTATTGAGACTCTGTCTCAAAAATATCAAAACAAAACCAAAAAAAAAGAAGCAAAACCAATACAAAACAAAACAAAAGCCTGTCAGTTTGCTGGGGGTGTGGCCAAATGGAAGAGCACATGCTTAGCACGGACAAAGTCCTGGGTTTGAGCTTCAGCTCTGGAAAATGAAACAAGGCAAAACAAAACCAATCAAGGAAGAAACAAATGTAACCCCTGCCCCAAAAAATAACCAAAAAAATGTCAGCAAAAATATTAGGCAAATAGTGTCAGTCGCATATTTAAATCTCACAGTCAGAAGCCAAAATTAAGGTAAAGAGGGTACTTAGAAGGTATAAAAATGCTCAGAGAAGGGGACAATCTCTAGGCAATACTAGAGAACAAATGAACAGAGACACAGTACCAAGACAGCCCCTGGAAAAGAAAATACTGCCAGGTGTGGTAGTGCACGCCTTTAATCCCAGCACTTGGGAGGCAGAGGGAGGCGGATCTCTGTGAGTTCAAGGCCAGCTTGGTCTACATAGTGAGTTCAAGGTCAGTTGAGGCTACAGGGAGACCCTGTCTCAAAAATACCAAAAAAAAAAAAAAAAAAGTTTAGATTTTTTAGCAAAGTGCAGTCCATACTTTGGTAAGTAACTTCAGAATGTCCTAATGCCAATCCTTACTGCAAC